ATGAAAAAGTGAAGGAGAGATCAAAAACGAAGAAGGTTAGGCAAAAAGAGGATGAAAATGAGAAAATTAACAGCTCACTTATCTGAATTTGGTGTCGTTCAAGTAACGCCTGCCGCTCAAGATCAGCCATTTGGTTCCGATATTTGATTGACAATTGATCAATGCGTCTAGCCATCCCAGCATCCAACTCGGCGCGATAGTTGTTCAGTCGCTGAACTAGCCCCGCTGACTGGCTGGCTAGAGAGCCGGCTTCAGAGGCACTTGGGCCTGCTAGACCAAAGTTACTGCCACGGCTGCATGTGCTGGTTCCCGAGGCATGGCCAGAAGTTATGAGCCAGGGCATTCGTAGAGAACCAGGGGTGCTATGACCACTGGAGTTGCTAGTGCCAAAACCTCCACTAGTTTGTAAGCTCTGATTCAAGCCGCAACCAACGTTAGCGCTTCCACCAGCACTAGACCCAATGCTACTGCCACCAATGCTGCCAATTGCAGAATTGGAATAAACGCAAGAGTGGCTGTCGATGCTCGACAATGACGGCTGGTCCATGCGAAGAAGGCGAAGAGCAAGCTTGCGTTGGTCAGAGCGTGGCAAAGAGGATTCGATCTCTGACTTCAAGGACTCTTTAAAACTGCGTTCTTGTTTGACCTAAAAGATACATAAGGTAGGGACAAAGATATGCATAAATTAAAAAGTAAATAGGAAATTTTTTTGAACGAAATTGCTATGCCACTAAGAACGACCTTAGTATGAATGTATTTGTGAATCTTCTTTCCTGTGTTATTTATCACGTCTCATAAAACGCTAATCTAAGTGGATAAAAGAAGCGTTGGCACAAATTGCAATGAAAAAAATTCCGAATGACCTAAAGAGAATGTAGACTAAAAAATTAGTAGTACTTATGGTAGCGGAAAGAAGGCACGAGGACCAAGGTGACATGGCTTCTATTTTGGTCGCGATCTCGTTTCGTTGTATGTAGGTGGTTTGACCTCGTTTTCACAACTTGGCCTTGTTGCCAGAGGCCCACATCGTCCGGAGGCTTTTGGCTTAATAATCATAACAATTTCTAGACCGTGGAACTGGTACATTCTCGTCGCCGAAATTATTATCGGCACCATTTGTCTGCATTTGCAACAAACAATAAGACTGTACACGAGCGATATCTCGCCTAGGTTGATATATTCACCTATCCCATATCTTAAAAGGACCTAAGGGAAGAGGATGAGGGACTAATAGGGAAAACCCATATCAGCAGTCCCAGCACAGGAGGGATGAGAAAGCTAGTTGGGAGCGTTAATATGCCCCAATAAATCAGCTGAAAAGGACAGATTTGAACCAGATTTAAATAAGCAAGTAAGAAATTGTGATAGTGAAGGCGTATTAAGAGTATATAGGGTAAGTAAATACACCAGGACAGAAGAGATACCACAACTTTTCCAAGGATTTATTTGCCTCTTTGTCGACTTGTGGAGAAGTTCTAAGACTGGCAAGGCTTACCGAAGATTCGACTACGATGCTGGCGAGTCCACGGTCGGACTCTGGAAGCTATCATATATACTATGGACTCCGGACAAAGTACGTTCCTCTAGAGGATCTTAAGACTCGTTAAAAGCTAGCAAGACTTAAAAATTCACAGTAATTCAACAAGCTAGAAACAAAACACAATAAAAAGAGTGTAGCGTTAGGCAGTACATATTAGGCTGCATCAATTAATTAGTATCGCGAAACAGAATGTAAAATCCTTAGTAGTATTATTAGATCGGTAGATTTGGAGTGTGATGTGGCGCTTACTGCATCCGAATGAATCTGCTTTAACTGAGTCTCATGCTCCGCTTCAAGACGTTCACAAGCTGCCTTATGTTGACGAGCAGCTTGATCCAGTTCCTGTTCAAAGCAACGTTGGAGGGTCTAGTGATAGAATAAAAAAACTGGAAATTACAAACTAAAAATGTGGATAAAGAAGAAGTTTACAGGTGAATAGATCCGTGTGCATATATAAGCGAGTAATTTGAGGCATAATCGGACAAATTGTATAAACATCGTCTATTTACATGAGTGGAAGTGTGGCCTTACTAAAAGGGATGAAAGTCACTTAGTCAGATAAATTTCATTTTTTCTTGCAGGAATTCAATCAGAATGCAAATCAGTTTAAGTCCAAATAAAGAGACTCTAGACTTGAATCACTCTAGATAAAGGTTATGTGTATTTTCGCTGAGTGACGACTGGTTTGCAACTACAGCAAATCCATCATAAAAGCCATTAAAAATAAAAAGTCATGGACTGGTATCACTCAATCCCTTTGAAGTAGGGAAGCATATTTGTATAGAGGAAACAAAACTCCTGTGAAAAGTTAGATACTAAAAACAAATTGCTCGCTTTCGAACTACTTTTGGAATAGCTGTATTATTTCAAATTGAGATTTTATAGCCACTGGGTGAATTTAGCAGTGGCTCTATTGTTGAGTTATTAAAAAACACATAGAAGTACAAGAATGCAGTACTTTTCTTGATCTGCGAAAAAGCTTACGACATATATAAACATCACATACTGCTGCGGATGATCGAACCTATAGGTATTATTAGATGACATAGAATAATCCTAGGCAAAATCATAGATAAGAAACAGAAGGCCGTTAAAGAATATATAACCACAAGTAATACATTAAGTTAGGGGTTTGTCCTGGCAAGTTCACCTAGATAATCATAGATAATGAACAAAATGGTGAAAATGGTGAGTATGAAGATATCAGCAAAAACCAAAGCTGCGGAGGGTTTTACAAGATATCACGAAATAAGCCCAAATTTATTATATTTTGGCACTCTGACCATGGATAATACAGCTATTAAGTGCTATGAACTAGATTAAAAAAATAAGCTTAAAGAAATGAGTGTTGGTTTGACTTTGTTTTTGCAACTTGGTCGGGGCGTGAGGGAGACCTTGTGTAACGTAGCCAGATCCGTGTCCTCTGCTATAGTATTCGTGATTTCCAACATTGGACCATTGGCTGGGTACATTCCCAAACGTTTCACCGACATAGTCAGTGAGAGCCGCCATCGTAAGCACATAGTTACAATTTATCAAAGTACAAGTAAAGGCAATCCCTGTAACTAATTTTCTGTTCAACCGTTGTGGCCTCACTCCTCGTCCCTATTTTTTGTTATATATACAAGCACTATATATATATATATATACCTTCTAGTGCAAAAATGTAGAAAAAACTAGGGGTGAGGAGTGATGCCACAACGGTAGAACATAAAATTGGTCAAGGGGATTACCTTCACTTGTCACTTTGATAAGTTGTAACTAAGTGACCAGTCATTCTCCCTATTCTCTTCTTCACTAGACTCTCTAAAGATGTTTTTGTTTTATCGAGTTGGCCACACTGCAAACGTCTTCACTTGATTTCAAGATGAGCCTCACCTGATTATTCTTTCCGATCCGTTTTTCTCTGGCTAACTATAGATCCTTGATCCAAGCGCCTACTTTTTGCTGATCATACAGTTTCCCTGCCTGACCCGAGTTCACTTAAGCAATAAACAAAGTTATACTACTGTCCTCTTCCAATCTCCCGTTCAGTAAACTTCCCTCAGCTTCGAAAGCTTCCCTAATCTTGCGTTTTCTGAATTTTCGCATCATGAGTCCTTTTTTTCTGTTACCTTCTAGTTGCACCGCATCCAGTCTGTGCAATGTCTTTCATATTTTTCATCTCTCTGTATCTATTTTTCTGCAGAGC